ACAGCTGACTGGAATTGCAATGGTAATACTAGCTGATAAAATGAATATGGCGAAAATCAATCCAAACCAGTGAACGCTGTGTGCAGCACCCACTCCCCAAAGAATCAAGCCAAAGAAAACAGCAGTGAGAACGAAGAGCCAAAGACGGTGTTCGGGTTCACCACGTCCTTGGTGCGGCGTGCGAGTCGGATGAGTAGTTTATCGCCAGCTGGACCAGCCCAAAGAGCGCCATTAGGTCTTTTAGTTTTAAGAACGTGGATAAGGTAGAAAGGTGGGCTTACGATACAACAGCACCCAAACCAGGACTCAAATAAGATAATCGAACTATGGAGGCAGTGGAACTGAAGACTGGCCACGCACAGCAACTTATAACGAAATTCAAATCAAGAGCCAAACAGGAACATCAAAGAATGATCATAGTGACGCAGGAAGTGAAGATGCTCTAGAGTTGAGAGATGTAAAAGGATTCGGACAACCGGAATTTGGAGATAGAATTCTGGTCAAGCAAGAATATGTGGTTAAGGAAGAGGACGTGAGAGCAGCTGAGAGCGTATAGAATTTTAGTGCTCTACTCCGAAAGAACCTCTAAGGAGTGACTTTGTTGTTGCCGTTGCAAAGGTCAATATGGATACCAGGCATACTTTTGAAAGGCTGGGAATACTTCGAACAGAGTTTCACTTTGAACCTACAATACATGCGAGTGTTATTGACACAAGAGAACTGCCTTCTATTGTGTGTGGAGGTAGTGGCGGATTGCACTCCTGTTGCTCTGGCTTAAAATTCCCTGCATCCGGACTCTTCTATATTGTGATTGCAGAGAGGTTTCAAAGTCTCAGTGATACCACACTGATCGATATGTATGATAAATCTCATTGATCAGATTTATACCGATCTCTATAAGGTCGACTACATTCGCCAAAGTCTTCACAATCTTGCAGACAAGCAACCAAAATAATTCCTACAGCAAATTCGAGATGCCATGTCTCCAAAGTCTATGCCTTTGATTGTCGATTTAGTCATCCTTGACACATGAGCAACTACGTTGGTGATTATTTAGGTGTACATGTATGGTCCCGAGTTAGGATATTGCATTCTGAAAGTGGTACAGGCTAGTACCTAGTTAATGATGAGCAAAGGCGCTGTAGCATAGTTGATGCTCTTATTAAATAATATCTTCAGTTCAAATACAGCTTCCCGATATGTTCAGTTCAATCTGAAACCAAAATCACTTCCCATTGGAGAAAAAAGTACCCTTCGAGGCACCCAGTCCTACCCTCTTATGATATATGTTTCGGTATTATTTCGATATCGCAGCGAAGATCTTGAGGTACAGATCATAGTTTCACAGGAAAGTGAAACGTGCCACTCTATGTAATGCGAATGAGTTATCGGAAACGGGTTCATGAATATGAAGAGATTGCATATCGAAATTACACATTCTTGATTTGCCATCAGTTCTGGGTCATGATTTCTGAAAGCACGATGCTATCGAGGGCTGGGGATATGGAAACCCGCTCACATCAAAGAAGTATAGAAGTATGTTGATAGGGGTAATCCCTGAACCGCCGAATGTTGCGATCGAGCCTTCCCAAGGTCCACTAACTTTTATTTTCAGTAGGTAGAGAAAGATTGTTGAACAGGGTGCTGGGAAAATGATGTGGGTGACACAGTGGCAGAAGTTGAAAGCGGTGTACGAAAATAATCTGTTAATATAATTCATACTTCCGTCTACCTACCTAGGTAGGTAGTCAAAAGTATCAATACCTAGGTAGTTATGTGTTAGCAAGCTTCAAGAGTGCTCTCTAGCTTGTCGTCCCCACCGTGGTTACATTTTCGGACGGAATTTACCTCCCACCGTAAGAGCATATTGGTGCGTTCATTATCATCTTGGGGGAAAGTTATATCATTTTTTCCTTTGGTGACTTGTACGTCTCAAATTTAGTGATTCACGTACGTCTTCCTTTCGAGTGACGTATCGAGTTCATCAGGTAGCGCTATGGCGGCGTACTAGAATGATATACCTACTGATGAGAGTGAGCATTTGGTTACGCATGACTATTCAGGAAGTTGGAAGATTAAGGATAGAGGTGAGTTTGATGGATAAATCTCAAAAGTTTATATGTTTGGCGCTATCATTGCATTTGGGGGCTTTTTGTGTGGGCCATGGATAGTGTGTAATGTGTAATTTATAGAAACACAATTCGTGCAATTAATATCACTTCTCAATAACTCTGTTTCACGAATAAAGCGACAGGGCAGAATGCCGGTGATTCTACTTTCGAAAAAAATGTTTGAGATTCCTAAAATACAGTCATCGGTACATTCATATCCGATGACTCCCAGAAGCCCCTCGAATGTTGAATATACACTTCAAGTCTTCAACTCCAAATGACAATACATGAAAAAGACCTCCACATCCATTTATGAGAAACCCAGCTTGTAATCCCCAGACAAGTCACCACCTCACAAAAAATAAAAAATAAATAATACACTAGGAGAAAGTAACAGACACCTTTCCACCATTGTTGAACCCTTGGCAACCACCTGATGGCTGACCGCTAGCAAGACCATACGTAGCACCAGTCTGGCTTCCAGCAGCACAGTTGATCAACGAATAAGTACCTGCATTTCCGCACGTATTCCCGCTCTTACAAGTAAAGACACACTTGGACATACTGGATGTGCAACTGCCGACTTGGATGGTCATGGCGTTTCCACCCATGTTGATTTCGCGAGAGACGTCTACTGTAGCATAGGCACCGGTTGTGAATTCTCCCCAAGTATTAAAAACTTGGCCATACTGGCTCAAAGTGGTCTTTTGATCATAAAGACCAGCCCATCCACCGGATACTCCATTTGCCATAGAGATTGTAACGGATTGACCAGCGCCCAATGAATAAGAGACTTGAGGTTTTCGAGCGTTCATAAAGGAGCTTTGATAATCCCCTGCAGCTTGGGTCCAGATGATTACAGTGACGGGTGCGGCTGCACTGTTTTTGAAAACAAATGTGTTGGGTCCCTGAGTTCCGATCCAGACTGCACCATTGGCAGCCTTCGCGTTTGTTCCCATGCCGGCCATCCCGATGGTCGACATATGTTTGCAATCTGCGGCGGTGAGACCAGCAACAGGACTGTTACAAGAGAATCCTCGCTTCTCGAGAGTGACCTCACTAGATGTTGATGTTAGAAAAAATCAGGATGGAGTGAATAAACGTGGTACTAACCCTGGGACTGCGGGGGCAGCCAGAGCAAGGGAGAGCAAGCTCATCCCCGCGACGATACTGGAAATAGAAAACAACATTGTGGTAATTTATTGGAATGTTTGATGTGTGAATCTTAAGTTGCGACGTGTGACTTGAAAGAAATGGAGTATAAGGTAAAGGAGTGACTTGTTAAATAAATATAATAGAAAAAAATATGACTGAGAACAGATCTGAAAAGGAGTGACAAAATGAGTGACAAAGTGCGAAAGCAGAAGTTGTGGAAAAAATCCGAATACCGTTTTAAGGAAGTTCAGACGCAGACAGGTAAAGCTGCTGTTGGCTGCTTAAGTATAATACTCGATACCGTTCATACGGCGCTGCTGATAACTGGAATGCTCGGCCCGGGGGCAGGAATGCCACCTCCAACAACAAGGAAAATGAAATATTCCTACAGTACGTAGGATAAGAGTATGGATACCACATCATATTTGCAAAAGGTTCCAGAAACGGCTTCGTCCCTGTCAAACTCTATTAAAAGTGCACTCAAGTCCATTACTTCATGGGAGACTGTTTTCGAGTGTTACATCAGATCAAGGGCCGCAAGATGCTATTTCCGGCACGTGCATGCAAAGGGGGAGCATCAAGCGAGATCGTTTTGAGTTGTTTGATGCGATCAGCCAATTGAGTGAGAGTCAATTTGTCGTAAGGATGCAAGATGAGGAGAGCCCATGTCAGCATCAACGAAATAATCTCATTTCCCAAGATCCTAATCGCGGGCTGTGTTCTGGCACGAAACAGCCGAATATCACGACTTCTGAGACTGGAGTGAAATTGTTACGCTGGATAGTGTGATTATAGCAAATGTCAGCTCTTATTCCAGAAAACATACCATGACTATATTTCGTAGGAAGAAACATTTTTTCCGTCAACAACTGCTCCCACAATCGTTTATCGTGTCATCCTGTGACTGCCATGAAAACTTCTCGCTCGTCGATAGATATCCAAATCTAATTCTCTTGGCAGCCGCCGTCCGACAGCAGTCCTCGAGTTTGGCCTTGTTAATGTGGGGATTTACCAACCGCCATTCAATCGCCCTCGATTTTGGCCTCATAGCGGGGTTTGCGTTCCAGCGACGCGTATGCTATTCATTTTTGAACGTCTGCACGCGTCACCAAACAGCTTTCTCCGACTATGATTGCAAATTTGGGCTGGATGGAATGCGTGGTGGCTAAGTAAAAGATAAGACTATGAAGCTGGGCTGGCTTGCCAAGATGACAATGTCAATTGCTGAAGTTTGTTGTGTTGATAAAACAATAACAATTGGCCCGTGCGCGTACGCTTTCCGAGCCATTCGGATTAAAAAGAGGCCGGTATCGACCATTGAAATAATCACTCATATCTTTCATTCAATTGAATTACAAACCAACCACAAATAAAATCAGTAATTCTGAGTATGTAGGCTGATAGCCAGCTGTAGAGTGTCTTTAACAGTACTCAGACATATACTCGATATCAAATTTGAGGAGAAAAGTCAAGTTGTTCAAAGTACCTAATAGGTATTGAGAGGTCAAACCCGTTTTCTTCTCCGAACAGCCGAAGTAGAACGTGGTGCCATACACGTGATGGCCATGAAAGCAACAAAGTTTAATATGATCCTTCAATAATAAGATAGTTATAGCTCTCATCTTGATCGATTTCAGCCTTGGCGTGTTGTTTGTTAACGTGATCATAGAGCCAACTAATCTATGATCTGATACAGTCACGTGATATGTACTTCCACAACTTAAGAGGGACATTGTGAAAAGCTGATTGTGTGGTTGGAAGTAGCCATTCGTTTTCAGTTGCTATCAGTTAAGAAGTTATCACAATCTACATGCGCTCCATAGTCCTAAGCATCACAGTATAAATAAGTTGGCAAAGAACCTTCCATCAATATGTACAACATTTCCCCTCCTCTCTAACTAGGTAGTACGATGACACAGCATGCTAGGGTGCTAAGTGAGGTACATATAGTCAAATCCGCCCATTCTTGTCACATACGACCATAGACTGAGGAGAATTGGGCATCCCGTCCGCTCTGCCATACACAAGCCTCAGATCGGTAGATTAGTAGTTGGGTGGGTGACCACCAGCGAATCCCTACTGTTGTATGTTTTTTGCTTTTTTTTGCTCAGATATCCTAGCGAACTACTCCCATATCGTAGTTGGGTGTGCAAATCGAGGGGGTGTGCCAGGGTCTCCGATGTTGATTATAAATTTCATCTTTTTTACTTCACACAGACTCTCAGCGTCAAGACTCCATCACAAGATTTCGTTCCCTAGCTTAAGATTTGAGAACTTCAGCTCCATGTTCCATTTGCCGGGCCAAATCTACCACTTTCAGGTAATGAAAGCCATGGAAGACCATTTCCATCTGCCGTGTTGAGGTAAACTGTATTGCCTGCAAGCTCAAACGTTAGTCAATCCTTCTTTCACCAAGCGTATTTGAAATGAGAGAAAGAACTTACCCCACCAATCTGGAAATTGAGCTCCAGGATATGTAATGCAGAAGAATATTATAATTGCTGAAAGTGCAAGACCCGTATCCAGTGCAGCTGCTAAGACGTAATTGTACTTGGCTATAATCTATCAGTATCAACTCTATTGTGTAGACGGAGTCGGACTTACACCACCACGCAAACCATTTTGCTTTGATCCACCAGTTGAATGTCAAATTTACCAGTGCCCAACTACTATAGTTGATGCCCGTAGCAGGTGGCACATTATAAGTTCCAACAAATATCAACGGCCAGTTGATAAGTCGTATCCAGCTTCTCTCTTCACCGTTACCCTTCCTCCAATATTTCCACACAACCCACGTGATTACCGGCATAAGTGCGCCGATCCAAAAGAAGTGCAGCAGGCCAGAATAAATTTTACCAATAGAATATACTCGTCCTGGTCCAATTGCACCCCAAATGACGGAGGAAGAAAAGGTTGTACGGCCATTTGGACACGTAAAACCATTCGACTGATCTTCCGAGCAGATATCTTTGACATTACCGAGCATCCATAGAGTCACTCCAACTTGTGTAAGAGCCCCAAGAATCTAGATCGGCCATTAAAAATAGTTTTGATTGATGAATACAAAGGCCAACTCACAGTGGCACTTCCTTGTGCGAAAAAAAGAGTTCGAGGCGGCACTTTCATATAATGACCTAGTTTCATATCTTGAGCGAAGTACAGGCCTTGGCCCACTACATCAGTAGAGAGAACCTTAAAAATTATGTCTGTAATTGGTAAGTTAGATCATAGTCTTTTGCATTAACATAGAAAAATACATACTCGCTAATGGTCGTCCAGTAAACATGTATCCACCAATGAATTCGGCTAGAACATTGAGTTGATTGGCATCTACGTTGGTTATCCCCTGAATAATACCACATGGAATCATGTAAAATGCCGGTATGATTACTGCTAGTATAACAGCCCACCACGGCAAGGTCGTATCGTAGACTTCGACCATCACAATACCTAATGCAAGCATTATAATGGTGATAGCCCCATACCAATACCAGGGAGTCCGTGAGTAGAGGCGCATCAAACGAGCATGGATATCCAATTTAGTTCGGCCAGCAAATGCATCGAGAATCTGAGTGCCATGCCAGAGGTATATGTGCACTGGAACAGCTGTAATGGCTGCGAAAGATATACCATATACAAAAGCAAATGTAGCAGGAAGGTATGCAGGTGAATATTCGGCGTATGCAGTTGCGTTCAAGGTATTCGACGAAGTCATGATGCGAGAAACGTTGTATAGGGATGCAGTGTTATCGTATACATCAGCCGAACAAAGTGGAAGATAGGCTGTGTACCATACGTTTGAATAACTGTGGGTATGAATCAATATTCGGATTGACTGAAAAATGATGTGTTTTGACCTACTAAAGACCAGGGGTAACAATCCAGAAGAAAATAACAAAACCACCGAACACGTTCACAGCTGTGGGCTTTTGTTAGCCACATGGGTTGAATACATAAAACAGAAACGCGACTTACCGGCCCACGCTGGCGAGAGCAGAGGATTTGTGTTGTATGCTACCTGTGACCAATCAAATGTGATTGGACTCAATCCGAGACCTGTAACCATTCCGAACAGATGGTTGACGATCAGGTTGTTTGGTGCAATCCAACAGACCCAAGTGAAATATGAGAGAGCCACAAATATTAAACCGGGAAAGAAGTACCAGATTCCCGCTCCAACCATAACATACATAAAGAATCGCAATCGACTAATTTTCCAACCATTGGCGATTGCATTTGCTCGAGAATGTAATGTGGAAAGTAAAGCGCAATTAGACAGCACTCCTGGCCAAATTATAGACGCAGGTTCTACCAACCAAGGCGAAGATAGTCCCGCAACCCCGAAGCCCATCATTTGACAACAAAGGACGATAAGAATCGAGAAGCCAGGCTTCAAATCAAAGTTGTAAAATGCTTTTGCAGCTTGAATAATACTCGTTGAGTCTGCGCTTCCATAGCCAAAGCTGACATTACTCATGATAGTTACCACAGTATGCTCCTTGATATTGAAATGCCTGTCGGGGTTGATACACCATTTCCCCAGAGGCCCGAGATTAAGAGTGTAGAGGGGTAAAATCTTTGCCAAAAGTATGCCAAAAGGCATTGCCAGAAGTTCAGCAACGAGTGCAACAATATGAACCGAGGGGTAACGAAGACTGAAGAATTGATTGATGCCAGCACCAATCATAGTGAAAGCAAACCCTAAAATCCACATCCTCAAAGTATTGACAGGAATGGCTTGATCGTCGACATCTGGAACTACGGCTCTGACTGGAATGCTGTTAGTTTCACCATTCCTTCAGAATTTGTATTTATATTGACCTTCAGGATATGGCGATGTATCGCCTTCTATATCATCCAGCCCTTCATCATTGAGTATTTTTCCAACGTCAACCTCCAATTCTTGCATGTGTTGCGTTCCCACTTTGATCTCAGCATCTTGATCTTTGCCACTTTTCTCATTCAAATCTTGCCTTGCATTTGCTGATATTTCCGACGACATTTTGATAACATTGGAAAGAAAGTTTGTTATCGTGTTGTACGAAATGCAGTCAGGATGTGTCTTTGTATTTCAATGCAAATAGTCGTCCTACCCCAACATTGAACCAACATTGTAGCGAGGGAAGATAACGATACTTCATTGCCTATCAACCAATGGAACTTCCATTAATTCTCATCACTGATTATTTGATAAGGACTTCCCTTCAGAGATAAAAACAACCTAGAATCGGAGGGGAGGACCACACGGCTATCATTTGCCGTAGTATGTTTTATGCAGGGGATTTGCCAAGCTAACATTGCGTATTTGCTCTATGATAAGAAACATACACCTTCCTTTTTTGTGTACCCTGATGATATTCTAACTGCAACCAGTGGTAACGGGTCATTGATATCGCGTTTTGGGTAATGAGCAGGAAGCAGGAAGCACATTCAATGGATTCTCATTTGTGATCTCTCCCATGAGAACATAATCATCATCGGGTAAGCGGAATTCGGGCAAGCTTTAACTCTCATACAGGAGTAGAATATCTAGACTCTGAAATTATCGCTATAGACATAGAGAAATACAAAGAGGGTGCGTAGATATTGAATTATTAAAGGGTGGATGGAACGCGCCGGTCGTCTGCATACAAACTAGTAAAGTTCTGGGTTTGGGTCCTGGTAATTATCACCGCCTTCTACTTCCATTCTACGGCAGAATTGTCGGAATCTTATCTTGTCTGCCGGGACTACCAACCGTTGCAAACCGTTGCATCTTGCGATTGTTCATCCGCTATAAGCTTTCTAGACTACAATTCGTGGCTATCAAATACACTCACCATGACTGCTCGCAATCTCCCCGATAATAGATTACATGCATGCGAATCATCATAATTCCCTATCGTTATCAAATCCCAGGCACTTACCTCATCGAACGCGGCACAAATACATAATTGAAAGGCACACGATAGATAGCAAGCTTCATTTTACAGCAAGCGAATGCCATGAGAGCTTCGATTTAAGCTACCAATATAGCATATAAGTTGCATGTAGACCTTCGTAGGTCCATTTGATAACTGCATTGTAGTGACAGATGCGTTCAGTATACATACTGCTCATACCAATAAAACAAAGCTAAACCCATCATCTAGGGCGATTTTGACCCCGATGTTTTGAGGGAGGACCCAGCTGAGGGCCTTGAGCCGATCTTTTCTTGGATTTCTTCGGTTGTGGAGGCATCCCAGGTAATTTGCGAACAACACCTTTAGGGCCAAGACTGCACTGTTAGTAAGCCATCTAGGAAATGAGGACATCCGGGACTTACACAAATCGAGGCTGCACACCTGCTCGTATACATGCCTCGAAAACGTCTCTTGGAAGAGGAGCTTGGTTGTTATCAGCCAGCCAGTTATTACACAACACTAGGAAGATCTCTAGATCGGCATCCCAGAAATCCAATCTGTACCAAGGTTCTTTTCTGTCTGCCAAATAGATGCTAGTTGCATGGGAGAAGCATTCTGCCTGTGCCTCAGAAGCCCTTACTTGCACCTGATCTGTCGGAGCTGGTGAGCTTGGAGGCCACCCATTACTAAGAGTGCGGAGAATTGCATGGTACGGGGTTGGTGGCTTTCCGTTTTTGTCGCGGATTCTGATCTGTTAGCCGTAAAATCTACAGCGCGTAGCTGCGAGTATCTTACTGAAACAATTCTTTACGCTCGCTAGAATTCAAGAGAAATTCTCTCCATTCTTCGGCACTCAAATCTATTCCGCCATTCCTACGTATGTATTGATGGAGGGTATGTTCTGGCATTCTGAATTTCATCGTATCAATAGCCAATTCTCTCTTCTGGTTGATTAAGTAATTTTTGATCTCGTCGTAACGTGGACAAGAAGGTATTTCTTCGTCGTCGTCTTCTTCTCTCTCTTCCTCTTCTTCCTCTTCTTCTTCTTCATCATGTTCTTCGTTCTCCTCTTCATTTCCCCCTCCTGGAGGATAGGGTGATAGCAAGTAGCTAGATTCTAAATTCCCGTGAGCAATTATTGCATTTCTTATTGCATGGGCGCGCTGCTTATAAGAGTTGCAGAACCAATCTACAATGCTTTGGATTTGATCCGTCGGTCCTGTTCCTATCATTGTGGTGTCTAGATCTATATTTTCGAAGCCAGCAGCAGGTGGCTCAGGAGGTGAACCATCTGGCTTATTGATGGTTCTTTTCCCGTATAGTTTCGGGATATGCGTACTTCTAGGTCCGAATCTATGTTTAAGAATTAGCAAACCCAAAGTCTGTAGTCTTGCAGAAACGACCCACACCGCTTTGTATGTATTCCACCAAAGTTGGTTCTGAATATCAATAAAATAAGTCAAAGTTATTGGCCATACATGTGAAACAAAATAGTCTGGAGGCTTTCTAATGAGAATCAAAGGATTCGTTGTTAATGGCTCGGTTACTGATTTGTCAAACTCGCTCCTGCTTCGATTAGCATCATGTCGCAGGGGAAAGGTGCAAAATTCAAGTCCTACAGATAAAATCCCATAGGCGGAATGCCCCGACAAGGCACACTATCTTCCCGCAAGAAATCTTGGGCGATGCCACCGAATACCTTTTAAATGTATCAGCTCACTGTGAAACAAGAATGAAGTTAGAACACGGGGTAGTCTCACAAAGCTTTCCATCGAGAAGCCTCTATCACCAATCAGCAAACATCGACAGGATTCGGGGATTTATTCGAAGGCAACACATACAATTCAGAGGTTCTTTGATGTTCGAACCATGGTTCCAAGTTCTGCCCAACGACATCCTCACCATCTGCTCGTATGCCCCATTTCCGTAGACAATCCCAAAAGGCATGCTATGTTCAAAGTCAGCGCGAGGATGATTCGGTCATGATCTCTACATGTGTGTAAACTCTGACAGAACTTACGCAAAGCTCATGCAGCATGGTGGCCGCAAATCTATATACAACTATCATTCGCTCCGCCTCAGTTATCTTGACATTAAATAATGGTTCCAATATTTCAAAAGCCATTGTTATACCTATTCCTCTTTTGGTAACTACATCTAAAGCCCCATTTGTGTCTGCGAACTGGAATTCATCTGGTAATCCAGATCTGGTATCTGTGTGTCCACTACTCAGATCTAGAACAACGTCATCCCGAAACCTTTCAAGCATTCCTTGGACACGCATACGCTCATCAAATTGAGCACATATCTCAGGGCGTCGTAATTTGAATCGTTGATATCCCTTCTTCCCTTGTAGTTCGGGTGGTAGATCAACTGGGTCTACCTCTTCCATTTCTCCAAAGAATAAAGCGTCAAACCTACAAAGTCAGCATTCTGTTACACCAGCAACCAGAGAAACCCACCAAGGCCAAGTATACAAATTTGCCATAAACATCGTTGTCAATTGCAATGATGGTACCATCATATTCCAAACTGTATCATTTTCCCACTACCATCTCGATTTATCAGCATTCATCCCATCATTTTGGATTTCCCCTTCTTACAGCGTCCCAGTATCCTTCTCGCCCATTTCCAAGCGGGTACCTAGCCAATTGAGCAGGCAATTGCCGTCTCCATTTCGATCTTTGCAGAATCGGATGAATAGGACAGGTCAATTGTCCAGTTGCTTTCAATTTCGAATACGGGGCAAACGCATCGTGGAGATGGAGTTCCTGCGTTGTAAACTCTAATCATTAAACAAACTGATGTCAGTCTCATTTTCTCGAGGAAATAAAAAGGTGGAGAGGTGGTACAAAAGCAAAAAGAGAGACATACCACCAAATCTTTGAGACTGGTACCATTTTAAATCCTGGTGCGCTTTATGTTTATAATAATTCTCATATGGAGGCGGGGTGATGGGCGTAATACCACTTTTGAGTAAGCCGGGAAGTCGATGTAATGCTTTATGGTCTTCTCCAGTAGGATGCGTATGCGATTCTGCGAGGTGAGTATATATTGATGGCTGAGCGGCCATTTTGAGACGTGAATAATCTTTGCAATTTTCGAGCTCCGTGGCTCAATGAGAATGAAAGCTTAGTTTTTCGTGTGTTTTTGTTTTCTTAGAGCACCGGATTGGTGTTGGATAAATTCCATTGTTAGAGGAAGCGAGGATCTGAGTATCAAGTCTTGCCTCTTGCATTCTTTGTTGTGAGGCATCTGATATAATAAATCCTTTACCGTTTGATTTTCTTTGTCAAGAGAACTAATGACCATTTGTGCTACGCACTTTTTTTAGTCTTGCCTTTATACAGCATTTGGATGACTCCTCAAACTCTGCGTTGGGGGTCAAGATCATGTGGTAGTATTTTACATCTTGATGACCACAAGATTCATTGAGATAGAATACATAAAAAGTAGAAGATAGATGAAATTCAAGTCCCTGGACATCCATTACTCATAAACATGTACATCCCATGTACGAGGCGCTTCTTATGAGTTTTGTTGCACATCGTGAATCTTTCCCAGAAAATCAGGTGCATCATTTTGTGTGCATCGAAGTTTTGTTGCATATCTCTAGCTTAATACCAAGACTCTTGTGTGATACTAGCGTCATACTCGAGGTGATTATCTACGCTTTTTTGAAATCTCATTTCTTGGAATTGAGTAACGATCCAGCTTTGATCCGAGAATCAGGAAGGTGGTTGCAACAACTCTACGGTTTTCCCAGCGCATATCGGTTATCTGATGGGTTTCCGTTTGGAGCAGGTTCTTATTATACTGGACTACCTGGGTCTGTGTATGTGAAGAAAGGAGTGAACAGGTGAGGAAACTGAATAATATCAGCGAGGAATGTTAGAAGGAAACGACGGAATGGCTGAGTTCAATTCTGAATCGGTGTTGAAGAAAGGAAAGTATGCATGGTAATTCAACTTTCCTATTCAAATTTCAATCTACTACACAGCTTCGATCTCTATACAAACATAGAACATTGAGAAGAGGTAGGGTTAGTTTATAAATGACTTACTACTCATTTTCTTCTCGACTAGAAAAGCCGTTGGCATGAATTTTTTAACTTCATCGCAGCATAGCAAAAGAGGGGAAGAAATTATTCGGTAGTGCGAGATTTTATTCGAGGTAACATCAAATGATCATCACTGAGTCTTATGAGTCCCCCGTAATGGCATCATGGAAATTTGAAAATGACACAGTGTTCATAGACAAGTGAAGACGACATATAAGAAAATTAAGCCTTTAAGACGTCTTGATTAGCGAGGCTCACGAATACTAACCAGAGATCATCTGATTCTAGCCAATGAAATTCATTCATCTACTCCTAAACATAGAATCTAGCCTGGTAGATCACCAGCGATCGACTAGTCTCTTCACGCTATCTATTTGGGCAGCTCATGACATTTCCCACACTTTTGAGAATTCGAACAATTTTCTTGAATCCCTTCTCTTTGTCCTTATTGTAATTCTATGGTCTCATTTCAATGTTTCAACCATCTTCAGTTCATTAAAATTCCAAAATTCATCATCCACATCATCTTTACAATATAGCCATTACAATTTTCCCCTTTTAACTCATCACGAGAGTCATACATACGCCATCCGCCAATTTGATAAGACCTTGTGATTCTCGACACAATACCAATCTAACATCATCACTCCCATATCATCTCAACGGGGTTCTCTGATACATCAGTTACACCGGAACAACTTTTCGATTTAATCAACCTCGTCAATTCCATCATTCTGCCGTTATCCAACCACAGTATCCTCAAAATGTCAACAGAGTGCGAACTCCTAGCAAAAATATGGTGCTCGCCAACACCTTCAGCACCTCTCGCAAAGGCACTTCACACTGCATGCCTATCATACCTCGAGTCGGTCAAACTGCCAACATCCTGCTCAAGCCCTAAGACCCCCAGGACTTTACAAAGCCTACCTGCCGAGATCCAATTAATGATTATCGGGAAATTAGGATTTATAGGAAAAACTAAACTGCGACAGACGAACCATTTCTACAACAGCATCATTCCAGCTCCTACTCCCACTGACGAAGAACTTCGTGAGTTAATCCTTGCTACCGAATCGGAAAATTATGCAATAAGAAAGCAACTATTAGCTTGTAATAACTGTTTACGCTTGCAACATGTATCCAAATTCGGAGACACTCAGAAAATAGGGAAAAGAATCCGCGATGGACCGCAGTGCCATCTTCGTCTCTGCCTGCAGTGTGCAATATGGAAGGGATTATATCAGCTTGGTAAATTTATCCAAGTGGGCGGAGAGGATGTGTACATTTGTCGATGTAGGAGAGCTACACCAAAGGCAAACCTGCCCTCTAATTGGCTTACTCATAAACGATGTGCGGTTTGTTATACAAAAATAGAAAAATCACGGCAGAGAGAAGACAGCAAGCGCAAGGATCTATTGATGGAATGTATGGCATGGATGAAATGCTTCACTGCGGACCAGGTACGAGAAGAACAAAGGGCCCTCTACTTTCATTTTGGATCCCGACACGCGGATTTCTAGCTGTCTAGGGCATGTAGACGAGGGGCTTTCCTGATAAACTCAGCCCTTGAGAATTTGAGGAATAAACTCGCAAATTGGGAAAGCTTCTTTGTCCTTTCTTCGCTTGAGAAAAGACATAGAAACATGGAGGAGCTAATGATCACTACGATACTAAAGGCACTGACTTGTCGCAATTTGGGTTTCCCAATGCAGATTTAAGAATATGCACAATATTTCAAAATCGTATTGTCTTTTCCACTAAACTTCGTACGACACCCAGATCATTCCACCACGACGCGCGTCAAAACAATCACAGCCATAATTTAGCGACCATAGCCTTAAACAACTCTCTTAACCTCTTCTCCAACAACAAGTAAAGGCTTCTCTGAGCTAAAGTTTGGAACATCTCCCATAACAGTTGGGCCTTCGGCGGCTACACCGGCAGCCCATGCCTCCTTGCTCTCGAACCAAAAAATTACTTGCCTATTATCCATTGATTAGCCATCATACCACATGAGCGTCATCCGCTGTCCAGCCATTATCTTCCTAGATATATATACATATATATCGGGAACAAGAACAGCACACAAAACTCGAGAAAAACATACATAGAGTATCCTGCGCTCTCATCCAACTTGGTAACAGTCCAATTCTTCAATCCGTGAGAGCCCCATTTCTCTTGAACAAGTGGCATATGTTTCTTCATGTAGTAGTCTAAATCGAAAGTCGAGGTTTCGGTCTTGGGGTATATGACGGTGACGATTACGGACATTTTGGCCGGTTTATTCGATTGTTTTAATATATAAATTGAAGGGGTATTGGAGTTATGAGAACAGAGTTTAATCCACGAATTGTCAATTTGTTGTTGTTGTCGTAGGAAGAGTTGAGATTAAGGAAGGAAAGAAAAAAAGAAGAGGGGTTGCTGTCAACACGACTAGTTTATAATCAACCCCGCACCTTCTTCCGTGCACGACGATAGCACAAGCTTCCGTACAGCCAGAAAGTGTACAACTCCGAAACTATATACGCTAAATCGGTGTTAATAAATCAGCAAAATCGATTGTGTCTTTTAACTTCCACACGATGAATACCTACGGACTCACACACTACCTCCTGAGTAACATGTTAAATACTCGCTTGCTCACAAGCTCTATCAGATTGTAGATCAGAAGTGTTTACTTTTTCCTGAAAAACACGTGTAGAGTTCTCTCCTAATGTTCTATTTACTGGGCGAACGAGTACTTTAATCGCGCCTCTGTTGGTCCGATCTCAAGTGGGATTTGTGTCACAATTGATAAACAGATCTTCAGGATTATGCAGTGTGACGATGGGTGGATTCGCATCTGGTAATCGTGGCAGGATATCTGCACGTGACCACACGGGAGAAGAGGAAAGAATGGTGGTATGGGCAGAATGAAATGACGTGAGACAATGCTCAATCAAGACTCAAGAGAGCCTTGTTACTTTTAGTTATTAGAGACGGGGAGGTCAAGCATGAGAATTTGAGAATCAAATAGATAATTAGATTTCTAATATGAATACGTAAAATACGACCAGCCGCATTAAAGAATGATTTCACCACCGGAACAAATAATTTTCTTCCCAACTCGACATCAGCGCCTCCTATCATTCTCACCATGGCATTCATTTCCATCATCTCGCCCTACATATCCATTATGCAGGTCAACTGCATCCCAGCCCCTCTGTACCATTCTCTGAGCAAAAGAATTCCTATCTAATCCTCCTGCAAGAGATGTTGAGATTTCATTGTTAGGTAAAGCCTGAGATTGGAATGGTCGTGAATAATGCGATTCATATCCAGAGAAGTGCGTTGGCTTTTGATTACTAGGCTCTGAATCTATAACCTACATCGTCAGTTTATTGAAAGCAGCACAGACAGCAGGAGACACGTACCATTATTCAAACCTAATTTCGATACATCAATAAGGCCCAGATTTCTATAGTCTCCCAAGCTGGCAGACCAGGTCTCATTTACCCCTTCTTCACTTGTGTTCGATGTAGATGGCGCCATTCCTTTGAAAGGATAGCTGGAGAGAGAAATGCGGGGAATTTCTTTCGATGTCTTTTTCCACGGTAGTCGGGTAGATAAGGAAGTTGTAATTGGTTTGCTGTTGTTCATGTTGGCTCGCTTTCCACGACGACGTAGAAGCCAAGATACGAGCGCAAAGACCAAGATAAAGGCGACTCCACCACTAGCACCCCATGCGATGAGTCTCGTATCGGTTGTAGTGCCGGAAGGGAGGGCAGTGCTAGTTGTTGGAGATAGGGATGTGGAGCTGGCTGCGTAGAGAGGAGAGGTCATGGAAGAGGAGTCAGGAGATTTTTGAACGGAGCTTGATGTGGTTGTGAATAAAGGTAGTAAATCAGAGGGGTACGTAGTGTCTGATGAGATATAAGGTACTGTATACACTGATATTCGGACAGCTGTGAATGTCGATATCGATGTTACAGTCACAATACTGGAAACAGCTGCCATGAATGTGCTTTTATTATTGGCAGCATTGCAGTCGGTCAATATTATACTTGGTGGCGCAATTCCGGTGGAAATTGGGATACTGGATGGGGTGAAATAGAGAATTGAGGAAGTTGTAGGCTCAGCGCCAGAGTTTGAATAGTTCGACGAAGACTGGGTCGAGTACCCTGTACTGTTCCAAGGTGTAGTCCTTGACAATTTTGGATATGCTGATGATAGAGATTGATCAGTCGTAGATGCTCCAGGTGGGGTCGTCATAGAAATTATAGAGAGTGGAAAAGTTGCCGTTGGAAGGATGCTCGTCTGAAACGTAGTACTCTGTGAGCCAAGAAAGCTCAAAGTATTAGTTACCGACTTAAATGCCGCAGGATATAGATGAGCTTGAGGGCAATTGGTAGCTTTGCTCGAGCATGGATCGATATCACAACACCCTTGAAATGAAGGGGTCTGGCGTGAACATATCCACCAACTTCCAGAAGAACAATACACGTTCGGCCAATAGGAGCCAAGATTCATTGATCCTTCGTCTCCAGCTTCCCCGTGTCCGAGTCCAGCTGCTCGAAGGTCGCTCGCTGGGCATCCTTTATTGTTGCATGGGTTGCTTGTGCAGCATCCAAAAAAGGTTGGTGTTTGAGCTGTGCAGGTATACCTATAATTTGATCATTCAGTATTGTTATATGAGATGATAGATGAGCACCCCACCACTATCAAAACATTTGGTTAGTGATGGTCTGTAAGACAATTGAATGACATGCACAGGACGAGTAGTCGGAAGAGATTCGAGCAAGTTTGTTTAAAAGCGAAGAAAATGTTATACTCACAAGACCTCCTAGAGGACAAGTACCCATAGTATTGTTTGTCATATTGCCTGAGTATAAGTGGAAGCCGAGTAGGATAGGCTATTCTGATGAACTATACGGTATTTAGAATTTCAAGATAGATTAAGAAAATACTAGAAAATCTTTGAGCTGAAGAGTACTGGGGGTTCCGGTAAACTTTTTGTAAAACAAAATTGAGAAAGAAATGGAATTTGGACTGATTAGGAATTCTTTGCTAAATTTGTGAATCAACAAAAAAAAATCACGAGAGACTGATTCACCTCTCTCGAATATAAATTCGTGCGGATATTGAGCAGTATTCTTTGAACATCCCATTATTCATTATATTAAGTACTATGTGAATAACGATGACGGTAAAATTTGTGAGGCAGATCTGAAGAAACATATGTGAAAATGAAAAGCACCCCACTTCTCAATATCACTCAAATGCGGTCCTATATATCTCAATTTCTGGAAGACCCCGACTTCAAAACTTCCGGTAATGATGATCGGAAAGGATCCTCAGATGTATCTGGCAGTTCTACTGTCCCTGGTCGAGAAAAAAATGATCTTTGTTGAAGAGGTGGGGATTCGACTTCATGTAAAATGGAAGAGTCGATCTCATGGTAATTAGAAAAGTCTGGAGATTGAGGCGCCGATTGATATGGTGGAGCAGGACTAAGAGGCGGAGATGATGGTATCTCTGATACTGGGCGATAATCTGACAAATCATTAATGAGACATTCAGCTGTTCTTGAAGCAGTTGTAATTACCTTTCTGCGACGCTTTAGCGTCTGAAGGGCTATCTTCATATACGAAAGGTGATGAAGTTACTTTAACCACGGACATATCTTGAGGTGGCGGTTGATAATATGGCTCGACTGCGCCTGCCAATGGAGATCTCTTTTTCCGTCGTTGGACACAAAAGATAACTAAGAGAACAAGTATGATAACAACCACTCCCCCTAAAGCACTCCCTATAATTGCAGTAATTGGTAATTTTGAGTTTGAATTGTGCCCAGTTGAATTCACTGTCGCACTCGCTGTAACCGATTCTTGAGATGACGGAGCTTGAGTCGAAGTAGAGTAAGCAGCAGAATTTGTTACAGAAGATAAGGTAGTCGAAGGGAAAGAAATTGAATGAGATGCAGAAATCGAAGATAGTGCCGAAGATGATGAAGTCGAGGACGATAAAGTCAAAAGTGTCGAAATAGGTAATGATGAAGTGCGGACAGATGAAGACTTAGAGGAAATTACAGAGGCAAATGTAGCTGGAACGCTATTGAATGCTGCAGCGTAGAGCCTCCATGATGGACAACCGTTCTCATGACATGGATCAAATTTCTCGGTCGAACCAGGTTCATGGCTATCATCACAGCAACCTTGAAATGACGGAGTCTGTCTGGAGCAAGTATACCAGACTCCTCCGCTGGGGCAACCCGCATTTGGCCAGTACGATCCATCGTTGCTAGAAGCATCCGGACCACCCGCTGTTCCCATTCCTGCAGCTAAGAGGTCTTCTTCAGGGCAACCAATTCCATTACATGGATTACTGGCGCAACACCCGAAAAATGTCGGCGACTGATCTAGACATGTCCACCTAAAAATTAAATCTATCAGCGATATTCTGGGCCTCGCTACAAGATGAGGCTTACCAATCCCCGCCGAGGGGGCATGATCCCATAGGAGTCATAGACATCTTTTTTTTTTTTTGCTTAGTTGATGAAATTATGATCAGGAGAAATTTGGCAGAAACTTCTCATTAGATAAGTGCTAAGCAGAAGAGTCGACTGAAATTCCACGTACCAGATATGATGGAGAGGATATAAATACAGGTAGCTTAGAACGAAATATATGGGGAGCCTTGTCTCTCAAGTCTGATGTGGAGGGTATCAGGATTAGTGGCTTGCATTAAAACGAACAGTAACGGGACCAGGACCAGGAAGTTGGCCTAGCATTGATTTGTGAAGAGAACATTCCATCTGTGGGTAGTACACAGAGCTCTAAGTGTGAGTAAGCGTGGTGTGTTGTACAACAAACGGCAACTTCAACTGCCATTACCCGTTACAATGTTTGCATCTTACATTTACTGACAAAACTCGCCACATAAAGTCCTAAAGAAGAAACCTGCAGACAATACAACGAGCTCATCCATCTCAGACGAATGAAATGTGTCTTAATTTACCAGTGTTTAAGAACAGTGATATCGGAGGTGATGTCACAGATTCATGATGGATGGTTTGTATTATCCCGCAAACATACAGGCGTTGAACAAAAATATCAATTTCTTGTTACCCCATAAACGTCGACAGCTTGATTGATATCATCAGAATGCGAGGTCGACAGGTAAACACTGGCACTTGACCAAACTCCTGATTAATGATGACTAGAAGACTGCAACCAATTTCTGCGGCTCAATTTTTGTAGTCGATCTTTCATGCAAGGCCTAACGGATTGATACTTCAATTCCTGCTTGAGCTCCTGCTTCGAGCTTTTCCGGTCAAATACGGGAATTGAGTCTGCCTTGCACTGCAAGCTAATACTCTGACCGGTTCATTTGAAGTGGGGTGATTTTTTCGGCAAGCCCGATTGACACAACCTGACAGTAACATCTAGCCTGATCGGACTTGATTTGGACTGTAACATAAACGCGACATGAACATGAGAGGTGCGATTGAATTTGGATCCAATGATTGCTCGCAAATTCTGGCTGATGTCAATCCTCTCTTCGAACTGCAAACTGCGGATACAAATTGACCTGCGGAAGATAGCCTCCAATCTCCTGTCCCGCTTTCCCTTCTCTCAGCCTTTCTCTCTCTCGCAGACAGGACGTAACGAGAAGAAAGAGTAGGTATATTGACACCGTTGGGCGATCCTGCCAAGAAAACGAGACAAAGCCTGAAAAATCATGAACAGTACATTATCGATGCAGCTAAAACCTGAGCGCAGATTTTCTGAAAGGCTCCATGTTGTACCACATGGAGAAAGTGATTGCAGTGGAATTGGTTTTGTGAAGTTTACACGTGCCGTTGACCACACTAGTACTAACTTGGTTTTAGCGCAAAATACCATCATAGTCCACGAAACGTGACACTCTCGTTTTACAATCTAGTGATTTCAGACATCTGCTCGAGGAGTCACGAAAGAGGAAGTACTGGATATTCTGGGGAAATAGACTTCCGAATGAATAAATGAATAGTGGATACCAGCGAAAGAGTTTTGTTGCTCATTCTACAGTTCACCACGAGCAACATTAATATCGTGAATGACCCGCTTCGTGACGCGTCAAACACATCTTTTCAGGCGAAGATTCAGGTTCTTGTTCAAAGCACTCGGATTATCACCAGCATTAGCCAGCCAAGATCAAGCAACTCGATTTTGATCTAGTTCTTTGTAAATGTGAGGCTCCGGCGGACAATGGACGCTCCGCGGAGGCGGGCGCGGGCACGGCTCTGTCACGTGCGCGGATATAACACATGTATATATCCCTCTCTACGGAACTTAGCCCAGGTTCCCTAAAATATTCAATTCTATCTCTACTTTAAACCTTCCAAGTTCTCCGATTCCTACGATTACAACTATTTCTCAAAACGCCCTTTTCTCGATATCCTATCACGTGCCATCAAGGACAGCCACTCCCATTGAACAAAGCTTCGCACTCATCATGGGCGTCTCAGAGCTTATCGATTCTATTAATCTTGTTACTAGTAAATCTAGTGAGTTGAAAGATGAAGATCGAGGAAAGCTTCTTAGTGCGTGTGGAAAACTACAATCAAGCCTAGAGGGCCCTCGGGATAAGTTGATGAAGATGATATTCTCAGTGAGTATCAATCCTTTTCACATATCCAAATTGTTTCTGACGAAATCCCAGTCACTTCAACCAGTAGCACTTAGCCTCGCAGTAGATATGGAAATTTTCGATACGGCAGCTGCTTTGTCCGCGGCTGGGAAAGAAATTCGAGCCGAAGATCTTGCTTTGCCAAAAGATGCCGATACGTTGCTTATTGGTAAGTCTCAACTTGAAGAAATTAAGGATTATAAGGAACTGACCATTCATCAAGTCAGGGTCATGAGACTTTTGGTAGGAATGGGTTACTTCACTGAAATAGCCAGAGAAACCTACAAACCCACGCCACTAGCAAGCGCTCTGGTCACATCATCTCCATATGGCCAAGCGGTGATTCACTTGTATGTCACAACTAGTTCAAATTTTCTCTTCCATATCTAACAATCTCTAGCACAACCCAAAATGAAGTTTTAGCTGCTCTCCCAACATACTTTGCCAAAAAAGGCTATCAGAGCCCCAACGATGCATACGATGGTCCATTCCAGTTTTCTCGACAAACAGACCTCCATTGTTTTGATTGGATGGCTACTCAACCACGCATTCAACATGCTTTCAATACCGTGATGACCATTCCCCGCACTATTGGTCGCACAGCGTGGTATGAGTATTTTCCTGTTGCGGAAAAGCTTAAGGTAGAAACGCCTACAGATCCACTTATAGTTGATATTGGAGGAGGAATTGGACATGATTTAGTTCGTTTCAAGGAAGCACATCCAAAACTTCAAGGGAAACTTATTGTAGAGGATATCCCGGTAGTGATTTCTGGTATCGCACCAAACTCTCTTCCTGACGGCATTGAAGCTCAACCATATGACTTCTTCAAACCACAACCTATCCACAATGCAAAAGCTTATTTTCTCGCCAACGTCTTGCACGATTGGCCTGACAAGCAAGCCTCTGTCATCCTCGAGCAGATTAAGGATGCGATGGGTAAAGACAGTGTGTTATTGATCAATGAGAATTTGATGCAAGAAAAGAATGCATCATTCGAGAGTGCCTGTACAGACTGGATGATGATGGGGGGTTTTTCAGCATTAGAAAGGACAGAGAGGCAATTCAAGGAGCTGATTGAGAGTGTGGGGTTGGTTTTGGTGAAGGTTTGGGGGGCTCCAGGTGTAGAAAGTGGACCTTGGGAGGGAAGAAGACTATTGGAAGTGGCCAAGAATGATCGAAATGACTGGTAATCTAGTACCATTTGTTCGTTAGATAAGCTATCGAGGCTATCAAATTTTCTGTGTATCATGTCAGATACAAGATAACGCAACTCAATGTAACGGTAAAAAAACAATTAAGTAATCATAGATCGGAATCGAGATTACCGAATACCTTTCCTTGGTAGTGAGCTATAGTTCGTGAAGCTAGCTGATAATATCGATCAATCAAAAAATTGAAAGGGTCTAATTCATTAAGGGTAACATCTCAAGAAGAACAGGTGGGGTTCAATGTAACCAACCCAGGGGTGCCTAAGCGAGCTCTCTCAGATGACACTTTTTCGGGTAAATCGGGTTTGTTTAACATTTCTCACTCAATAAATCACCATCCCCTTCAACTTCCGCAGGTTAATGCACCCTCATTTCAACTTGACAACCCTCAATTATTTTATTGAAGATTTAATCGAAATTGTTGGGATGAGGCTGATTCGTGCCGTAGGGCTGCATACAAGGTTGACACTACGTCATCTGTTGAACCTCGATCCGATAACCTAAATTAAGAGTTGGAGATAACCCAGCCTTGTACCAGGATACATCATACTCGTACATGGAATAGATGGGCCATAAATTCGTGAATCAGTATGGAAACTCTCGAAAATTCTTCAAGTGTTTTACGAACTTACTACAGAACGGATTCGATATGACGGCAACGACTTGACGTTTGTTCGTTGGTACAGCTATACCGGTTACGTCGAGTCAAAGAGACAGAGAACGACATTTTTATAAATGCCGGAGAATTGTTTTGAATCACCAAGTCGTGGAATTGCACCTTGTACCACCTTCGCACTAGGTACTATTTCAGCTTTGGTAAAGAGATATATAATTCTGGGGGCCAATCGCTAATACAGATAGGCTATCAAAAGAGAAATGTATATAATGAGTCGCAAAAAGAAAGAACCAGCCGAATCCGAAGAAAATTCTCGAAGACTCCTCCAACCAAGATTTCTCCTCATTTTCCTTCACCTTGCAAATCTATTTTGGAAATGGAATTTTTTTCTTGACGCACAAGCCCGACCTGAGTTAAATCTATCTGTAAGGGAATTACAGTCGTATACATAACCTCTCGATGGAGGCATTTTTTTGGCAGAAACTTTTGTCCCGAGCATCCATTACTCGTACGAAAATCGAAGAAATCTGGCAATACATCGCACGCAATAATGGCTGAGCAAAAGAAGCCGACACGACCCATGGTCAAAAACGATGAAATGCCCCTGTCGCATAGCAGCCAAGTTCCCTCAAAACAACTTATTTCCCTTGGAGTATCTGGTTTACATTCGAGAGATAACACTTGTTGTCTCGAATGTTTTGAAACTATCCATGCTATAACAAAGACACAATCTTTGCTGTCGAAAATTAAAACCAGACTGGACCAGAGAACTTGCGATTTGCGCGTGATTATGAGCAGGCGAACTCCTTTCTCTTTCTGGATCCCTCAAACATTCGGTCCAGCTATCTTGATGTGCAAGCACGTTTTGCTATAACAAGGCCATCGTTTGATCTTCGAGGTGGGTGAATCAAAGCATATTCTCAGGCGAGTCAGGGAGTCTGTGTCTTTAAATGGTCCAGGAATGAATGGTTACCGTGGCGCCACATCCTAGCAGGCATGTCGTATTCCGACGCTATTCGAAATATGTCAAGACTCGCAGATAGATATTGAGAGGCTAAGAAGAAAATATGTTTTTCGTGTAATAGGGTTTTATGCAGTGCAATCAAAGCTTGTCACTTTTTTTGGTGGATTTTCGAGTCGCTTCAGAAACGATACACGCCTGGCAGACGCTGCTAATTTGTTCGACCTAAGAAATAGTGTTCTCATTTTCCGATACGGTACCGGCTTTTGATGGTGCTTGTTCTGAGTACCTAGGAGAAATTGAACGGTAGTACGGCCATCGAGGAAGACAACATTCGAGATAGAGAGGTTGGGACTGATGTAACTCGTCATCGGTATTTAAAGGCTTCCGACAAAGCCCCTCCGATTGGTCGGCTTTATCATCGCTTCGCGATTCTTGCACGACCAGTCGCCATCCATTAACTCTGAGTCTCTGTTAGATAATAACAGGGGTAAGGCATACTGTGCACTTACGTTTCATCAATAACGAGTATTTGGTCGCTGATATATCTTGATCTAGAAATTATAGTTATATCCTTCCATTCGATCGGTAGGCTGGTGAGCAGTTAGTCGTCCGCAGAAATATGATGAGAAGGAAGCATACCGTCACCTCATCATGATCATTCTCATACACCCATCTTTCCAGCTGGTATTGAGTTGTCGCCGGAAGGGTATCGAGAGTGGTAGCAGTAGGGCGGCTATAAACTTCCGTGACTGGGGAATCATAGACACTCTGGTAAGCAATCGCCGCAGTCGAAGCATTATATGATGATGGTGTAGAGAGTGCAATGGCCTGAGGGGTAGTGACAGGAGCTTCCCATGTCCATTGTGGTAAAGTGTGCCTGGTGAATCGGGTATCGAAGTGAGTGGGAATAGGGACATGAGCACCTAGATGACGGAATCCGATAAGATCGTTATCAAAATCACTCGCAGATAACGGACCGTCGACTGGTCCCTGAAGCACTTGCGCTGGTGCTTCGAGATGAAGATTGGCCTCATTAGAACCCCATTCATGAGGACTGGAGGCGACTTCAACCTCGATGCTTCTGTCGACAACCATCATGGAATCAGCGCCGAATTCTTGAACCCCTTCATCGATCTGCTCGTGAGATATGAGTCTTGCTTCAGAATGCGTGATAGTATTAACATCTTGACCCTGGTCATCGTTGCTGCCCAGATGCGCGGTGGGTTCATGAGAGGTTCTCTCAGTACCAGACCTGGAGAGTGTCAGTAACACTTCACGCATGAGCTCGAATTAAAGCAATACTCTTTTGTCCTCTGCTTCGGCTTGCTAGCAGTTTGTCTTTGATTTCTTGAATGCTTGGCCATGATGGATGTTTGTTGTAAGGGTTGATGATTATAGTTAAGTATGTATATATAGTGGTAGGGATCGTTTGCTAAAGAATATTGATGCTAAAATGCAGAAAAGTGTTGAAAGTTTATGTGGTATGTCTGCTAATAGTGACCAGATATGTACGGGAGCAAAGATGAAATATAGTATGCTCTGGGATAAAAATGGGATAAAGATAGGATAGAAAATTATCTAGATCCGGAGGAAGCAGATAGCGAAGTGTGTGCTATTGAAAGTAATGAGGATAGAAATATATATGACTACTCGACTCTGAAAGAGCAAGGAAGATTTTGTTGTGACCGAGAGTGATATGTGAAGAGCGGAGAGTGATATATGTCCAGCATTTTAGGCATCTAATGTGGTTTGCAAACCATTTGCGGCAAAAGGTTCGCGTGCGAACCACTTGCAAACCATTTTGTTCGGCGTGAAGTGCAACCAATTTTCAAAGTTTAAGTAAGTTATCTCGTCATGCCGCCTTACACCTCGAATATCTAAGGGGCTCAACTGCAAGCCACGGCAACTAACCAGGTGAATGTAAATAATATTTCTCTCACTACCAAGTTCAAACGCCACAATAGAAGGGTGGCAGGGCGTAGAGAAATAATTATCACCTCTACACCGCATTTACATGGTCAACCAGTGATGGGAAGTTTCGTAACGGCATCTACCTGACTGACGACCAGAACCTAGATCGGCTTTGAAAAGACTGCCATTCCTCTACACGCAATTATATTTCCTAGTATTTCCTCGATTTTCCTTAAGCCCAATGAATGTATATTACCATCATATATAATAGATTAAGTCGGGTACCCTACTTTCGGGCCACCCCCCTTTTGGGCCATCCTTTTACACCAAAAATCACTTTTTAGGCCTATTAATATTTTTATTAATGTTCAATACAATTTGATGAAAATTTGTATATATATAATTTAGATCGATTTAAGCTTATTCTGAAATTTTTAGATTTTTAAGATTTTTCTATATTGAGAATTAGAGCTTCAAAATATCGATTTTTAAATTTGTATAGGAATTATATACAAATTTAAGTTTTTTATTAAATCTTTAATAAATTTTTAACAATATTAATTAAAAGAAAACTATATATATTTTTGAAATATTTAAACTTAAATCTATATAGAAATTCAAAAAAAAATTCAAAAAAATTAACAAATGTAGAGATATAGTATATAATGAGTTTAGAATAATATAAATAATCTTTGTCATTTTGAGGGTACCCCTATAAATATTTATTTATAAAAGATTTTCTATTTTTTCTGAATTTCTTATATTAAATATACTATAAATTTATAATAAAATTTTATAGTTTATTTTTAGCAATTTTAATTAAAAAATTATTAAAGATTTTATATAAAATTCAAATTTATATATAATTCCTATATAAATTTAAAAATCGATATTTTAAAGCTCTAATTCTCAATATAGAAAAATCTTAAAAATCTAAAAATTTCAGAATAAGCTTAAATCGATCTAAATTATATATATACAAATTTTCATTAAATTCTATCCATAAATAAGAAAATTATAAATTCCATTTTTGGTGTATTTTTGGTATAAAAAGTAGCCCAAAAGGGGGATGGCCCGAAAGTGGGGTACCCGACTTAATTGAGACGATAGCAATATACTGGATCCCGCTCTTCATATGATTGCGAGTTTGAGAATATCAATGTATGTATGTAAAAGATGGGTTTGGATTAGTTTGTTTCGAGTCTTCTTGCTTCGATAATCACGCAACTAGCTATCAAACATTTTTTTTTCAGTGCATGTACAACAAAATACAGCCCATATTCTACTGTAATTACAACCTTGTGAATCTTCGCTTTTCTTGGTCTTGGTTAATTTTCAGTCTCTCACTAGCTTTCAATTATCACATCAATCATCCATCTTCCCGAGTCTGTCTACCGATATTTATTATATTCTTTTCCTAGGCCTTTTCACAAGGTATTTTAATCCCTGAGGTAGATAAATGGGGGATTCTGCTATTTTCACAAACATCTAGAAATGATGGAATGAAATGTACGAATAATCTTGGTCATCGGATGCATTGTCAATTCCAGCCTTCTTCTCTAGAGATAGATTAATTTTGTTTCATAAAACAAGCGCTAGCGGCGGTAATTATTCACAGAAACTGGGTTTAGTTTGCGAACAATCCCTACCTGAAGGTCCGGCACAGCAGTACAAATGCTTAAAATCCTCCTTGGTTGCTAGTGATGAGTCTTCTTTGAGCTGCATCGCTGCGCCGCACCCTGGTTCGTTAGATCCTTGGTCCTGTAAATCTGACCCAAAACGAACAAAGGGAATAAAATCAAAGAGCCGAGAGAATTGTGATGATTTTTATATACTACAGTATCATCTTTCGGCAAACACTGGCAAGCTTATTGTTCGACGCATCATTAATGATTAGCACCCCACCAAAATTCCAATCTTGAAGTTGTCTTTTAGTCTCGTTCCTGATTTTCCCTAATAGAGTATGGAGGGCAGCGCTGATCGACCGAGAAAATTTTAGATTAATGCGTCAAATAATGTTTCTCTTAGATCCAAAAAAATCAGATAACTAGTACCGGTACCTTGCTTTGGCTCACATCATCATTGAATTTTGTGTGAAATTTCCAGCTACTACGCGTGGTTCATCCCGTTAGTGTAGTGATACAACATTCCTAACGCTCATTAATGCAAGCGACAGGTTTACCACAAACATTACCTGGTGGAGTGTTCAACCACAATGAAAATTTGCCACTTTCGACAGTATAAGATTATGGTCCAAACAGAAAATCGACAATCCGATCAGGTTTCGCAGATTATACACATGAATTGGGCGAAGATAGTGTATGCGCTGGCTCCAATGCGCAAGTATGAAACCGTAAGCAATTACAAACATAGGCGAGCACTAGTAAGGATGGCCAAATTGAGAGAGTTGGCTATGTTCTCTAAATTACGAGAGTCACCTAAGTATTGTTCATACACTGATCTATGCTGCGGTATCGATGCTGTGACCAGAGGAGAACCAAGGGTCCGTACAATTCTTGGGCTGATGGAATGTTATCCTGATGGTTCTTTTCTACATGGTTCCAAAAAGTCGGTTTCTGGTTGTGGAAAGGCAAACTTTGCGCTCCGGCAGTGTAGGCAATAGTATACTACAATAAAACAATGACGTGTATAAAGCTTTTAATATAGTAGTTAATATATATTAGATAGTTGAAAACTCATTACCATAGGTATTACTCAAAACTGATATCTACGAAAATATACGAGAAAATTGAAATATAAAATAAAAAGATAATACTAATCTCAATAAAGTCTAGATACTTAAAAGATATAATACATATAATAGCTAACTAAGAATATAATACTTTATTAAAACTTTTCTTTTCACCTCGATTAATTAATTAATTCAAGAAACTCTTTTCATAATTCTATAATATCAAAAAGATTAAAATATTCAATAATATTAATTAAATCTAAAGATAATTTCAAATTCACATATTTCGGCTTATTCCGTACCAATTAGAAATCCGTATTTTCATATCTTATCAATAATATTCAATATTAGAATAATATTGAACATCTTCAATAATTTTGAATTTTATATTATGTATGTATATATTTCGAAGAAAAATCAATATGTACCACTATCTAGCCCGTATACGGATTACGGGAAATACTATTGCCTATACTGTGCTCCGGACATTATACCCAGGCTCATAGGAAGTTTTCTGATACTTGTACAACATGCTCTAGGAACAAATTATCTTGTTTCTTTCTTTAGGGCAATTCCACTAAGATATAACAATACGTAACTGGGATCTAATAAAAGCGAAATTTTACATTAAAGAGGAATATTAAGGAAAAGTGAGTATGCGACTATGTTGATCACGAACTCAGTGGTTCCTTGCCTTTTGGACATCGGGGTTTAATTATCCCTATCCATGTGTCTTGCTTTCACCATTTTCATAATGAATTTGTAGGATAATGAGCAACGCCAGAAAAAAAGAATAATAGATCGAAGTGCACAGGGCTCAATTAGATTTCACAGCCCTGCAGAGTACCTATTGTCGCCCTGAAATAGGCCGGTCGGGGCTTTGCTGGTCCCTGTACTACTAGTTTCCCAGTAAGCTATACTGTATCATTCCGGTTGGTTCCCTGAAGTCTGACAGGAACGCTTCGTTACTTGTTTCTAGGCAACCCACCAAATTTCTACACAACGATAACAATTCTGGAGATTATTTCATCAAGCGGAGAAGTAGATGCGTTATTGCTTTGAATGCAGACGCCCTGTTGAGCTAGCACATATTCACGACTAACTGAGTATGATTGACGCCCGGAGGTCTGTTCTGCGATACAATAGGCTCGAACAGAAGGAAAAATGCAATGAAAGGGTGTGGCCAAATGTCCATCGAGTCTGAAGCGTTGTGTGATGTGTACTACATGATAGTATCTAATTCAGATGCAGTCAGGAACAGAGACATCCATGTTGCGCATTTAACAAGTACTAACACAAGTCGGAATATATTCTTACAAAATTCCCAATCAACAAAAAACGATCTGCAGAAAGCATGACTGCCGCGAGAGTATCACAAGATCGATTGAGATTAGAATGTGTTGACTTTCACCGCGTAGATCCTGAAATCTCCAGACACGTCAAGAGCGGTTGCTGATTTGATGACACCCGGAAGGAACTTTCATCCCGCAGCTGTGACACCATTCAAGATCTTTCGGTTGGTGGGCCTGTTGTCTAACAGTACCGTATACGCCGTGTTCAAGATTGCCGAGTACTACATTGGCTTGCGCCCCAGCATGATTGCACGCCTTTGAGTTGTAAAAATTTAGGTCGATCAAAAAGCTCACGGCCTACTTGGCCAATTCGAACATGTGTCGATCCCTGCGACCTCTTTCTTGATTATGTACGATTCCGTCTCGGCGTCTCGGCATAATCGGCTCGGGGCACCTCGAAGAATGTGTAGGATCTTTCACGCGACTTCGCGAGGCAATTTTCACAAAACAGGGCGTCAACCATATTATCTTGAACTCGAAACACGAAATTAAAAAGGGGCCCTTGGTAAAAATTTAGTGCCGCGCACGTCTTCGAAGCTGGCCATTGCACTGGCAGCGACTCGTGCGATTTGCTAACATACGAGAGCTCGCGTGTTCATGTGACTACAACGTAGCGCCAATGAACGTCCGTCTCGTGGATTCCAGTAGAAGGAGCAGACCGACTTTCCCTCCTCCCACACTTTTGATTTCTTAACATCGAAATTTGTGTTCTCATTGAATTTCTATTTTCATCTTAAACGGGGGAGATTGTTTAAGTTACAATATTCTTTTCTTGGCATCAAACTATCTCATAATGATAATTACAACCTCAATTGCGCACCCTGGTCAGCAAATATGTTGACTTCACGTTTGCAATGCTTGTTCCTGTTTGATTTTCCGAGTCGTAGTCTCCCAATTCACGATGGGCTTGCACATACTGTCTTCTATAGGATTCCACAATTTTGCACGAGTGTGACTTCAGAGGGGCCTTTTGCCCCAATATAGGATCACAGTTTCACAATTTGCGCGCATGGTAACCCGCTTGATACTTGTATTTGAGTTCATATCAGCAGCAATGCTTTGCATATTTCCTCAGGTCTTGCCTCATCTAGTCTCGAGCATGCAGATAATCATGAAGAACCAGATGAGATACAGTATAAGTAAGCTTCATGGGGGCAGAAGTCTCGCAACTGTGACGCCTGCTTCAAAAAGAGAATTCGGTTTAGTGCTGCTAGTGGTTACTTTACAAATGCAGTTCGGCGAGTCAATGACTCAATATGTTCCATCGTAGTGCAGAACGAACATATGTGAGACTCGCGCCGACTAGACTAGCAAGTAAGATTTCGTAACCTTGCCATTTCGTTGCACGATGAATACTTCATGAAAATCAATTTGAGTTACTCTGATGAGCCTCAGCGGATGCAAATCTGGTGACACAAAAAGCGGTATATGGGTTGAAATTACTCTAGGATGCCAGAAGAAAAGGAGGCTATTCTGTCCGACGCAAGAGGCATAATTGCTCATTTCTTTTCGAGGGCGTTTGCGTAGAGACGACAGAGTCTTCCCGTCCCATTGAATGATGCGACAGCTACCCAGAAGATCACAAACCGCATTTGCCTCCTAGCAAAAAATCTGCACTCAACCGGTGACTATCGAACACGTTGGCAGATTTTAAATTATATCGAGCAAGGATAGAGAGATAGCGTCCCAAGTCCTCGGGTCTATGGCTACACAAGAAGACAAGGCTTTGAAGAAGAAATCTGCAACGGGATGGTGACAGAAGTAGCGGTAAGAGATCTTGCTTTTTTATATTGTTCCATGCGTATCTCACTACTTGCTGCATGTCAGATTGCTTGCGCATGTGATTGATCGACATACCGTGTTTGAAACGATTTTCATGAGGTGCTTAAAGAAGAGCTAGATTTAATCAAAAGGCATGATGCTTATCTACGCTAATTTGCTACAAACGTATGGTACCTAGTGTGATAAGTAGAGAAAAGGGCGAAATTGGGCTTGACCGCCTTCAGAAACTCTTTTCACGCGACACAAGTTGAGAATTTACATATATTGCAGGGTGATGATTCGAGAAATTATCTGTTATGAGTGTGCGTTGCTTCTTATGGTGATTGGTTAGATAACTGTTACAATGCAGTCAGCTTCCAAGGTTATCGAGTCCGAGTCAAGAACTTCGCCACACTGTAAACGTCGCTTCGGAGATTACCTTGAGGGGAATGATCTACAATCGTTTCATCACACCAGCAAGTGAACGCATAATCGGCAGTTGGTCATAGATTGTTTGATATGATTGATTGTTGCAACCCATCCATCCTTGCCAAGCCTTGTAAGGCATAGCAGCCGGTATATTTTCAACATTAAAACAACGTCGCAAAAGAAAGTTGAAGAAACGGTGAAGATGCAGTATTCTGAAATGGGCAATACCCATGCGAACGATTTGCACCCGAAGCACTTCTATGATCAATCTTGTCTCAATTAAGACGTATCAATGCAACGTACTCCATCAACCTGTTTCTTGGGTACCTGGGATGGAAAAATTATTGTTGGTGGCTGTTAGGATTGATCTGCATTGTGACGTCTTTCTAGCATTTGAACCTCAATTATCATAGAGGTCAATCTCGAGGTCAATACAACGCATCTCCCCTTTATTTCGGTAATCTCTCACCGCCAGACACAGCCACTATCACTCCACTTGAAGCTCATAAAATAGCTTCAGCCTCATGAGTTTGCCGATATCCGGATGTTTGTATCCAATCATTTATTCATTTCGCTCTTCGGTTGCTATCATGAAGTTGGGGATTACCTGGAAACTCCAAACCAGCTAGTGTCATGTCTCAAAGATATAGGTCAACGATGCTAAAGAAGAGAACTCAAGTGCATGCAGGCAAGCGCCCGGACTTCGATATCGAACTTCGCATCCTACTCAGATGCTGCTGCATTTAAACTGATAATGCATATCCACATTGATTTGGAGCTTGTCTTGCATGATGCGAGCCAAGGCACTTTGCATTTAATAATTATCATTTCAATCTACCCACAGAATATTTCATTATGATTCTATATGTAACACATATACGATTCAAGGGACTGACAGACAGGATAAGCGCATGGATCGCACGCAACGAGAGCCATTCCAAACATTTCCGTATTTTCTAGGTCTTGATTGAACATTTTCGTCACCATCCCTATCTAGAATATACAGGGTAACATAGTCGGCCTCGCCGGACCCATTCTGGATGACCCACAAAGATAAGGACGATTCTGTTCTCAGTTCAATCAGGCCTTCTCACTGTCTTTGGGATACCGTGTTGGGGCAGCCTCACTAGACAGCTAGAATGATAACAAAGAACAACGTAGCTTAGTTGCTGCGGTAAGGCAATACGCGG